TCGTTTCTTCCTCCCGTTCCTATCAAGTAGTCATTTCTGCATTACGTGAGTTTAACAAGTGGTCTCAAATGGTTTCAACCACTAAAAGTGTTCTTTCGGATAAAGAAATAAAAGATTTGGCTTGCAAAGGCAAACATTCAAAAGCCAGAAACTGCTGCCAAACAGCGATTCTTTGCGATGAACTAGAAAAAGTTGGTGGTTTTGGACAAAGTGTACTGGTCCATGCTCTACTCTTACATCTTGGCCCATTTGTCCATGAGCATAAATTCATCGGAAATGCATCCGAAGAGGGCATTGAGGCAGTTCACAGCAGGCTAGAATCTGAATTTGCTCGAAACAAGACAGGACCACCAGAAGAGCGACTAATGAACTCGCTCAAGTGGCTCGGTTATGTTGTTCTCCTCAATGATGATGGAAATATGACATCTTAATTTCCTCCTTTTTGCTTAATGTTCAATTGTGATTCTTTTTTTGTCTAATTCATGCTTATAAATAGAATAAATTTTTTCTAGACTATACCAGATCTGCAAGTACCGCAGAACCAGAAAAAACTGCATTCCAGATTATAAAATCGGACAAAACTAATAAAAAGTCAAATTTTTCGGGAAATTCTTTCCGCCATGTTTAAACACATAAAAATGCTTTCGAATGATATGTAACACTTGATGATTTGACACAAAAGAAAAATTTTACCAACATCAAAGGTGCGCGCGGGCCATATAACCGCGCACTTCTAAAAAACCTAGGTTTCGGAGCTCGCGTTTCCATTGACCAAAAAACAAAATCAAAAAACAATTCCCGACCAACTTTTTGCGTAGAATTCAGAAATTTGCTTTTTGAGCCTAGTTTATCAGCTAGATTTTCGTGAAAAAAATTATTTTGACTTTTCGGCGCCGAATATGGAAAAAATTTCATGGAAAAATAGAATTCCACAAAAACTCAATTAAGCATTTTGAAAGAGCGTGAAAAGAGCTATTGAATGACATATAACACTTTATGGTTCGATGAAATATGAAATTTCACTAACATCAAAGTCGCCGCCTTTAATTCTGAAATTTTGGATGATGCTTTTCGGATCATTTTATTTTTTCCGTTCATTTTTGGGCCTAACTTAAAATTTGTAGTGTTCGGATTTTTGATTTAAAGACGATTATTTTTGTAACCTATGTGCCAAGCCCTGATCTTACGACTGAGAGGCACTAGGCCACCGGTGCCCATATCCCAGCGATTGAAAAGCGTGCTTTAAAGTTTCAATTCAATTTTTACGCATTTGCAAGCTTATTTGGTAGATTTTGATTTCAGATTATGAATGTGCATACTCGATTTAGTAAGATGTATGTGATCGGGAAAGGAAAGCTCACGGGAAGATATGGGCACCGGTGGCCTAGTGCCTCTCAGTCGTAAGATCAGGGCTCGGTCCCGCTCTTGGTTTTGGTTTTTTTTCTTTAGATTTAATGCTTTCTCATGTCCTATGAGTGAAAAGCGCTCTTTAAAGCTTACCTTCGATGTATTTTTTCTGGGGTAATTTTATGCGTAAATTCCGAAAAACACAACGAGAGCTTGGGGAAAGGCATTTTAAGCCAAGTTTCAGTGCTTCAAAGTGCGTGCTTCTATAGTGTACTTCACTATATGAAGCTATCGACTATTGGGCCACTTTCCAAGGTCAAAACTAGAGCCAAAACCATTTTTAATCGCTAAATCTTCATTTTCTAACTTAATCTGACTGGCAGAGGCAAAATCTCATTGAAAAATTGAAAATTGATTTCTTTTGTGAGAGTTGACTCATGGGAAACCACATGATCGGAATTTGGAAAATTTTTTTATTTTGCTTTAATTTGATCAACAAAATGTAATCAGTAGATTAAATTATGCCAGAAGAAGTGTTTTTGGCTTCAAAAAATGTTTTGAGAGACCATTTTTTTAGATCACTTCCCTATGTGTATCCTTCTCATCACGCTTTATGTGCGCGCACTTTGAAGCCCCAAAACTTGGCTTAAAACGCTTTTTCCCTAGATCTCGTTGTGTTTTTCGGAATCTACGCATAAAACTACGTCAGAAAGAGTGCTCCCCCAACTATTATAGTACCAAGAAAATCCTTACCAGGTTTTCTACTTTGTCACCGGACTGCCAATAATGTCTGAAGAGATACAGAGGTGAGAGTTGTGGTTTTGATAGGAAATTGTGCAGCTTACTAGGGAAAGGTGTTGACTTGAAGTGCACTTTCGGGATGAGACCTAGCTCATCTTGCAAAGAATTTTACAGGGAATCCAATGCTGTATTTAATTTTTGCAGAACGCCACGCAAACTCGAATTATTTAACGAAAACATTTTTTGGTGGATCTATTTGAGGCATGCACACAATGCCCACCAGAAGGCCTGATAATGTAGTGGCTAGTGTGCCTGCTTGCAAAACAGTTTGCCCTGGTTCGAGTCCATCCAGCGATCGAACGAAAACTTTTTTGTCCGGAAAGGTCACTTGAGTCAACACCCTTCCCTAGTTAGAGCACTCACGCAGCTAATTATTGAGTCTATTGTAGGGAGAGGAGATATTAAAGTAATTTGTTTCTTTGTTTTAGTTTCGAGCATCGGGTATGGACCACTTTGAGTTACTAACCCTTCAGAAATACTATAGAAAACATTTTCTAGAGATCGTGACAACTCAAGCGGCACTGGAGGTATGGTAGCTTGTTGTACCATGTTTCTCAAGAAGATATCCGGTATGTTCAATGTTTAGAGTATCTCAACTTTTGGTTTACGAGCAGTAAACCAAAAGTTGAGAGTTCTTTTCATTTCTTATTTTACTTTATTATTTGAGGATTGTTCGACTTTGTGATGCTGTTTTGGGCGGTGAACGGATGGTATTTGTGGGTTTTCGGGGAGTACTATGTGTATTTGCGGTGAGTTTATCGAAGATACGATAATGTTAGGTAACTTTTATTGGTTATTACTTTTTTTTATTTTTTTTTTTTTTTTTTTTTTTTTTTTTATTTTTTTTCTTTCACCCCCCCCCTTCACCCAAACAATCCAAAAAAAAAAAAAAAAAAAAAAAAAAAAAAAAAATATTTTAAATTTATTTTTTTTTTTTTTTTTTTTTTCTTTTTTTTTTTTCCTTTTCCCTCCCTTCCCCTTTTTTCCTTTTTCCCTTTTTTCCCCTTTTTTTTTTTTTTTTCTTTTCTTTTTTTCTTTTTTTTTTTTTTTTTTTTTTCCCCCTTCTTTCTTTTTCTCTTTTCTTTTTTTCCCCTTCTTTTTTTTCCTTTTTTTTTTCCTTTTTCTTTTTTTTTTTTTTTTTTTTTTTTTTTTTTTTTTTTTTTTTTTTTTTTTTTTCTTTTTTTTTTTTTCTTTTTTTCTTTTTTTTTTCTTTTTTTTTTTTCTTTTTTTTTTTTTTTTTTCTCTTTTTTTTTTTTTTTTTTTTTTTTCTCTTTTTCTTTTTTTTTTTTTTCTTTTTTTCTCTTCCTCTTTTTCCCTCCCCTTCTCTCTTTAAAAAAAAAAAAAAAAAAAAAAAAAAAAAAAAAAAAAAAAAAATATTTTTTTAAAAAAAAAAAAAAAACTTAAAAAAAAAAAACCTTTTTAAAAATTATAGGTTAGTGGACCTCAACTGATCGTGACGTCATCGATCGAAACCAATGCTACACGATCATTCAAAGTCTAGGAAAAGTTTCACCGAATCGTTAAAAAGTGTACAATTTTTGATCTCTTTAATAGCAAATTTTTCAATTATTTTTACTGTTAGATAGGATTTTACAAGCGCTATCTAACAAGTAAGGGATTTTTTACAGAAAATTTAATGTTAAAGGAATAAAAATTGGAGTTTTTCGTTGTACACCTGTTTACGATTCGGTGTGACTTTTCCTAGACTTTGAATGATCGTGTAGCTCGATCGATGACGATCGATGACGACTGTTTTCGATCGATGACATCACGATCAGTTGAGGTCCACTCATCATCCTTCACATGGACTTTTTTTTGAGGTCTAATCTCAACACAGAATTCAATTTAACGCAGAATGATAACTCTTAAAGCAGAGCCGACGAAGCGAAGATATTTTGAGAGTTTATTCAGCACTCAATTAAAAGTCGTTAACTTTTATGTACAAATAGGAACAGATCAGAAATTCGGAAGGGAATTTGTTTTCAGGCAATTTGTTTTTAAAAGCAATCTAGACCCTCGTTGCATGGTTGGCATTGGATTAAAGTGAAGATTTTTCGTTTCTTGATGAGCAAAAATTCTCGGTAGAACATGGTGGAGCTTGGCATGAAAAACGAGCACCATCATTGCAATCAAATCCTTCGAAATAGGTTTTATCTAAAACTTTTTTTTTTGTCAAATTTTCTCTATCAAGCTTTTGGTTGATTTGTTTTTAACAATTTTAACAATCTTACTTTCCTTATAAAACCTTTTCCTTACTTTGCTTATAAAACTTGAAACACTTACCGTAAATACTGTAATAGTACTCCACCGCCCATAATGACGGTGCGGAGTGTTGCGTAGTCTAGCTTTGAACGTGTTTTTCTCGACACTGATTTAAGCTAAAAACTTTGTTTTGGTATCAAAAAATAGCCCTGAATTTCAGCTTTTTATTGATACCAAAACGAAGATTTTAGCTTAAACCAGTGTAGAGAAAAACTTGTTCAAAGCTAGACTACGCAACACTCCGCACCGTCATTATGGGGGTGCGGTACTATTACAGAATTTACGGTAAGTACATTTGTGGGAGCTCTAAGCCTACTCTAAGCCTAAGCCTAAGCTCCGAATTTCAGCTATTCTTTGATACCTAAACGAGCATTGTAGCATAAACTAGTGTCGAGAAAAACTCTTTCAAAGCTAGACTACGCAACACTCCGCACCATCATTATGGGCGGTGGGGTACTATTACAGCATTTACATTCCTTAGCTTTGTTTATAAACTTTTAAACACTTTTCTAGTACACAAAAATGATCAAGAGTTGATTGAGATGGCTTTATGTGTAAACGCAATCATTCTAGTGCCATTTTTTTCCTCATTTAACTGCTAAATTCAGTTTGAAATTTGAGAATTTAGTTAAATCAATAAAATTTTGGTCAAATTTTTGTACTTTACCTTGATATTGATCATATCGAAGTACAGCACACGTCTTGTCATCATCGGGAATTGGTAAAGATGGAGAAATTGTTGAATCCTAGAATTTCTTAAAGTTTAAAAGCTTCTAAAACGCTTTCATCTTAGAGAAAACAAAGTGAAAAGTCAAAAACGTTACCCTATTTTTATATTTGTCTATTTATTTTTGTATATTCCTATATTATTTGCGTATTCCTACATGATTTATCAATTCCTAAGTCCTATTTATCCTTTCGACTCACCAAAAGACTCCCGTCCTCCCATCTCCATAAATTATCTCCTTTCAAATTAAAGCGAAGTCCCATCCAGAATCTGCTGTTCATTTGACGAGTGATCACTGCTTTTTGTTGATCATTCTACTTTGGCATTGCTGTAATTGCATTCGAAGTGATTGACATTGTAGTACAAGTGCGATTGTTTATTCCATAAATTGTGTCCAGCTTTCCATCCTAAAACAATTTTGATTTATCGTGTCAACAGCAATCGTGTCAACATTCAATAGGTTAGATTTTCTAACCACTGTCAACATTCACTAGGTCGACATTCACTAGATTTCCTAACCCTTTCACCCAATCCCCACCTTTCTAATCCAGAAAAATCTAAACAAATCCTTTCTAGAATAAACAAGATCCTTTCTGGAACCTCGGGAATACTCAGTTTCCTCACGGTAAACCATTGCTATCCATCAGAGTTTACATTTTATCAATCAATTACCCAGAAACATCCACCATTTGGTATCCCAAGTGGACTAAACGACGCTCCAACGAATTTGTTTGTATTGTCATCGAAGTCCCCAGGGCAGAAACAATTCGCTAAAAGATTTACTGTTGCTAAAAGATATTTGATCGTTTTAAAAGATAAAATCAGCTTTTTAGGCCAGCTTTTCACAATGAAATGAACAAAACTTGATAGTTTTTGAAGTCAAGGCTACTAGCTCTCCAGCTCACAAGCTCTCCAGCTCACAAGCTCTCCAGCTCACTCTCTAACTCACAGGCTCTCAAGCTCACCTCTCAAGCTCTCAAGCTCTCATGCTCTCACCTGCGCATAACAATTGGATTATTGTTTCCTTTGCCACTGCATCGTCATCCTCATTTGCCCCTAGTGCAGCAATTTGCAGAAAATATCCAGCACTTGCCACTTGACGAAGTGTCGCGTTCACTTCACCGTGTAAACCACCAAAGCCTAAAAGGAGACTGTAACAGTAATCCCTACAGCTTACGGTTATCATTGTTGTTTTCTAAAATGCAACTCACCAACTACAATAATGATCCCATCGTTTTCTTTGAAATTTCGTGCGGAATCGATTGGTGAATCGAGTTCATTTGGATCTCTAGAAAAGACTTTTTAGCTTTTATTGTACTATTGATTTCTTTGTAGTAAAATGAATCTAAAGCTGATCTAAAGCTAATCTTACTGGTAATAGGTGGAGGCAAAGATGAGCATCACTTTTCGCGAAGTTGGTCGTTGATCTGGTGAAGAGGTGGATAAATAGTCCTCTCCTTTATCGATTGCACTAAAATTGATGATTTGTCGATTGCTCTATGACTAAATGATCAATATTTATGAAAACTTTTGAGCTTTTCATCGTTTATCGCTCTCAAAATTCGTTTATGAAACAAAAGCATTGTATAGAGTTGGAATAAACTCGACTTTCTAGAGCAAGAGCCAGGAAAAGTCAAGCCTGAGCTGAGTTCTCACGGATTTCAGGTCAATTTGTTTTCTTCCAGACCCAGAGACTTTTGTGGGCAATGACTAAAGCCAGGCCAGAGGACAAGTCTGGCTTCTAGTGAGCTTTTGTTGGTCTAACCTAGCACTCTTGGGTTCTCGCTTGGTTCTGGCTTTGCTTGGCTTTGCTGGGTTTGCCTGCCTGCCTGGCTTTGCCTGGCTTTGCCTGGCTTTGCCTGGCTTTGCCTGGCTTTGCTTGGCTTTGCCTGTCTATATCTTTATTCCATTGAACCCACCCTGCCAGATTGCTTCCACTTCCACCACTAAACGCCCAATCGGCTTTCAACATTTCCGATTTACTTCTATAGGTTTTTAAACCGGCAACCTCGTGCACCTAAAAGACTTTTGATCTTTAAAAGCCTTCAGTACGATTTGTACACTTTCCAATCACCTGTCCATCATAGGTAAGCACACCGAGTTGTTGCTCGGTTTCCGCATCAAGACCGATCGACATCTCGGCCAGTGTTTCTTTGCCAAACGATACCCACTGAAAGAAGCCAGCTCAAATTCTTAAGGCTAATTTTAAAGTACCTTATCAAAGTTCTCCTTCTTCACATCATCAGTGCTTTCTATTATTAAAACGATATCGTTGTAAGCTGTTAGGCGATTGCATGGGCATTGCGATTCACGTTGAGGATTTGGGAGACTTGTCGTCGATGATGGCTGAAATTTGAGCAGAAATTACAATTAGAAGACCCATTTCTAGCTTAAAGTCCTTGGAGTAGGTCATTTTTAGACCCAGATTGGGGAAGAGATCTCAGAGCTAAAGCCAAATTGCAAGATGTGTGTTAGAGATCAGAGCTAGGGCCAGTCTTGGGCCAAATCAGGCCAAAGCCTAGACTCCTCTGGGTCAGTTCTGGACCTGACCCTGGACCTGACGCTGGGTCTGACTTAGACCTGACCCTGAACCGGGCCTAAACCTGACCCTAGACCTGACTCTAGACCTGACCTTGGATCTGACCTGATTCTCAGCCAGTCCTGATCAGATAGATCAGGACTAGCTAAACCAACTTAACTCTAACATGCCAGTTAGAGTGATTTGATCAAATCTAAAGCCTAACCCAATCTACAGCAATTCCCTTCTAAAGTTCAACTCTAACTTACCGTCGTCGTTGTTGTAGTAGTGGCAGTAGTAGTTGTACTACCCTGAATCGTTGTTGTGGTTGTAGTGCCAGTACTCGACGTCAGTGTAGCAGACGATGTAGTTGTTGTCGTCGTTGAATGAGAGGTCTTCTCAATAGTTGTTGTAGTTGATCCAGTTTGAGTTGTTGTAGTTGGTGTCATTGTCGTATTCGATCCACTTGTTGTAGTTGTAGTTGTTGTTGGCGGACTTCTTGTGGTGCCATCAACAGAGCATTGAAAGTCTAGAAGTTATTTTTGAATGCCTGTCGACAACAATATAATTCGGTCAACAATATAATTCGTTCAACTCACGAAAGATCGTTTTTATCGCCACCGCTTCGACGAGTGCATTGGCGACATTTTGAACCCGATTTTCATTCAAATCCAATCCTCCATTCACGCACAACATTTTCGGTTTAGTGTAAAGCTCATTTGAAAGAAGATTTACGCTAAAATTTTGACTTTTCTAGCTTTTAGCTTCTAGCTTCTAAGTAACTCTTTTAGTAAACAAAATTTCTCACTTTTTATTGATTTATATAGCCAAATTTAATGAGATTCCAATAAAGCCAACCATAAATTGATTGAGCTTCTTTTTCAAGAGTTATAGACGATCCAAGTTGATCGACTTTTTTAAGGGTAGGTATTCTAACTTTGACACAGATTTTCTCTATGTTCTTACACTAGAGTGTACTAAGTAAATTGTGGTTTTTTTGGTAACCAAATTCCATAAGGATCATTTTAAAACCAACGCCGAGGCGATCTGTCAATTGGAAGTCGAGTTATGGAGGAAAATAGAAGAGTCCCCCAAACTCTGATAGGGTAAACTATTAGGGTGAACCAAAAGGTTTTCTATTTTTTTTTTTATTAAAACTTTCAACATAAATAAAACAGCAATGAACGAACACTAAGCTTCTAAATAAAGACCATTCGAATCTATGACATGAAGCCATCTATCGGCAGGTTGGTCGATCCGGCGGCGGTACCACCCCTTGTTCTTAGAGGCGAAAAACTTGCGGCACCCTTCTTCGCCCAGATTGTTGAAGGCTCGTCCGCGAAGGAAGTGTGCCATGGAGCGGAAAAGTTGATAATCGGATGGTGCAAGGTCCGGACTGTACGCTGGATGTGGAAGTTTAATTGAGTCGAGATTTTTGATCTTTTCCTTGGTTTTTCTGACGGTTTGAGGTTTTGCATTGTTCTGCTGAAGGACTATGCGCTTTCGATTGACCAAAGCGGGATATTTTTCACTAAGCTCCGCATATATCCGGTCAAGTTGGGCGCAGTAGAGGTCTGCGTCAATGGTCCATCCATTTGGAACCAGCTCAAAGTGGATAATGCCTTCGAAATTCCACCAAACACACAATAATGCCTTCCTTGAGGATCGATCACGTTTTGCTACCGGTTCCGCTACTTGCCCGGGATTCAACCACTGACTTTGCTTGTCCGGACTACTAAAATAGACCCACTTTTCATCACAAGTCACAATTCGGCGAATAAAGCGGTCATCGTGCGGATTTTCCAGCAGTTTTCGGCAATTGTCTACACGATTTTGAGCTTGATTTTCCGTTAAATCATGTGGCGCTTCTCGGCAGCTTTTGTTGATCTTTCCAAGGGCGTGAAGGTGCCGGATAACTGATGTTTGAGGAATATCCAGTTCAGCGGAGAGCCTGCGAGTGCTGTCTGATGAATTAGCTTCAACAGCGTTGTGTAGAGCTTCAGAATCCACAGTAGTTGGCCGACCCAAACGTGGCTGATCTTCGAGACCAAGTTTGTCGTTCTTAAATTTTCGATACCAGTATTATTGAAGATCATTCCTTCACCTTCCACTTGGCATATTTTTTTGGCCACTCCAGTTGCATTGAACCCTTGTTTCCAATAATGGCGCAAAAGTACCCGAATTTCGAATTTTTTCATCTCTTTCCTACAAAGTAAAAAGTTAAAAAAAAAAAATAGTTAAATACACGACAAATTAGTAAAATATGAAAGAGCAGAACAAATGCTACAAAATAAATATGGCACGTATATATAAAACGAATTTATTAGCTTTAAAAAATTGTTCAAACTTAGAGAGAAAAAAAAAAATAGAAAACTTTTGGTTCACCCTAATAGTACTAGTATAGGGTACTAGTATACTTTAGAAGTATACTAGTACTGGTATACTTCTAAAGTATAGGGTATACTAGTATACTTCTAAAGTATAGGGTATACTAGTATACTTTAGAAGGTCAACTTTGACACTAATTTTCTCTATGTTTTTATCGGTAGGTCTACAAAACAAATTTTACTTTTCTATAGCTCATTTGAAAGAAGATTTACGCTAGAATTTCGACTTTTCTAGTTTCTAAGTAACTCTTTTAGTAATCCAAATTTCTCACTTTTTATTTGAAACAACATTTTCCCCATCAGTCAGAAAAACTCCCACAAAGTTTTGCCATTGATTCGCCAACGCTGTGTAGCTTTCATTGTGAAAGAGGTTGTAGTTCAAGTTTCGACTAAACTTTTAGGTAAGCCAGAAATTGTAAATAGTAGTACTAGTTCTTGTTATGTTTTTTTGTAGATTTAGACTAAAAAAAGGACTTACTCGTATCTTGTGAAAAGAACAATTTTCATTGTTGATTCTTGGTATTGAAAATGCCAGCAAATGTCCTTAAGAAATCTGTAAATTCAAAATCTAAAAGATAAAAAAGCTCACGTACAATCTAAAGTACGATAATTTTTCTTTAAGATGTACCATTTTAGAAAGCAAAAGTTTAAAAGTTAGCTACCAGGCCAGACTAAGCCAGAGGACAAGTCTGGCTTCTAGTTAGCTTTTGTTGGCCTAACCTAGCACTCTTGGGGTCTAGCTTGGTTCTGGCTTAGCTCGGCTTTGCTTGGCTTTGCTTGAATTTGCTTGGCTTTGCTTGAATTTGCTTGGCTTTGCTCGGCGCCTGGCTTTGATTGGCTTTGCCTGGCTTTGCTTGACTTTGCTTGGCTTTGCTTGAATTTGCTTGAATTTGCTTGGCTTTGCTCGGCGCCTGGCTTTGATTGGCTTTGCCTGGCTTTGCTTGACTTTGCTTGGCTTTGCTTGAATTTGCTTGAATTTGCTTGGCTTTGCTCGGCGCCTGGCTTTGCCTGGCTTTGCTTGGCTTTACCTGCCTTTTAAAATTAAATATCTAAAGGGTAAAAAAGCTCACGAACAATCTAAAGTACGATAATTGTTCTTTAAAATGTACCATTTTAGAAATCAAAAGTTTAATAATTAGCTACCTGTTTTCTAAAAGATAATCACAACAAAAATACTGTAGCTAACAAAAGTACGTTAGTTTTTTGTGTGTCATTTAGAAAACGGAGAAGACAGAACTTTTCATGAGCCCTGTACCTACAGAGATCAAGGATCAAGGATCAAGGATCAAGGATCAAGGATCAAGGATCAAGGATCAAGATCAAGATCAAGATCAAGAGGAAGATCAAGATCAAGATCAAGATCAAGATCAAGGCTAAATCCAAGTATGACTCTGGCTGATCCGGGTAAAAAATAAGGTATTAGATTAGGCTAGATGAGATTAGGCCAAACCAGATCAGGTCAGATCAGGCAAGGACAGATCAAAGCTTTAATTAAAACATTTTCTTAAAGAATCATCTTAGATCAATTTTAAGTTTTACTAAAAAAAGACAAACTCATAAACGGAAAATGATTTCGAAGTAATGTTCGCTTGAAGACGATAACGAAAATCTTCGATGATCTGACACCAATCCCCTTCAATTGAACACTTGCTATTCGGATTAAACATCATTAAAGAGGACATTACTAAACTCATTTCATATCAACAAATTTCAAAGTGAAAAGAGTTTCACTTTGAAATTTGTTGATTTGTTTAGATTTTATGGGAATCTTTGAATCTTTGTTTTGTCGCTGACCGTATGGATGTAAAGCGATCGACTTGCAAAATGTGCATCCATTATTCGAATTAAAAAAATCGATTGATAAACACAATCTCTCAATGCTTTCTGGTGATCGCGTATACGAGATTTGACTTGATGAATCGCTTTTCTGCTCTGAATTTCTGTTTTAAGAAGCTAGAAGCTAGGTGGACAAGTTATTAATATTAATATTAATATTAATACCCCTTCGACAATTGTTTAATCTCAATTCTTTCTAGAAAATCAAAGAAAAAAAGGGTTTTCTCAACCTCCTTTCAACTAAACTTTTAGTATTAAACTTTCAAAATCCTCCGTTGTAAACAGATTAGCCCTTTGTTTATAGACTTTTTCAAATTTAAACCGCGGTCAGGGCCCAGAAGTGGCTCATTCCTTTTGCAAATTCCCTTTGCTTCCAATGCCTCTTTATCAAATTCATTTCCCGTTAGAGCCGCTAGATTATGGAACTTGCTCCCAAACGACATACGAGAAATTCAGTCGCTTTTCATATTCAAGAAACGTATCGATGCTTTAGATCTAGTGGCTCTTTGCCGTAAGTAATTGGCTTATTGATTTCAGTATGTATTGTATGATTAAGTATCACTGTGCATTTCTCTATGATTTCTTTCACTTTATCGTTTGAATAAAGTATTATTATTATTATTATTAAAAAATACTAGATTTCAGCTATTACTCAAACGTAAACTCTAGCAGTGCAGAGAACAAAACGTTCAAAGTTCGACTACGCAAATGTACGCCAATCATTATAGGAATAACTCTAAGTTGATTGTTATTAGAGTATTTATTAGAGTCAAGCAAGATTGGCTGGCCTCTGGAAAAGTAAAATCAATCAGAGTTAGTTAGATCAGCAATACGTCACCAGAAAAGATCAGTTCAAATCAAACAAAGTATTAGGTTGATGCATAAGTCTTTTCGTTCCTTTTCGTCAGCCGTTTCAAGCCAACAAATGCACGAATTAAACTACGGTTGATTTCATTAGAAAAACCAATTATTTTTCTGCAAAATAACATTAAAACGGGTTTAAAAATATTTAATGCCTGGATTTTCTTGAGAGTATGAAGTCGGGTAGTCAAAAAGGGCTAACTCGATGATGCGGTTTAGACACCTTAGCTAAAGAAATGCCTGGATTTTCTTGAGAGTATGAAGTCGGGTAGTCAAAAAGGGCTAACTCGATGATGCGGTTTAGACACCTTAGCTAAAGAAATGCCTGGATTTTCTTGAGAGTATGAAGTCGGGTAGTCAAAAAGGGCTAACTCGATGATGCGGTTTAGACACCTTAGCTAAAGAAAACCTATCTTCGTGTCAATAGATAAAAGATAGAGAAAAAAAAGTTTGATATTTCGCCAAAATTTCAGAGAAATTCATTCAGCCAATTTTTCCGTAGAGTTTTTTATAGATTTTTACGAAAAAGGCGTTTTTCACTCTCGAATTTGCTTGAAAGTCAACGGAAATTGATTTAAAAAGATGCAAATTGAACCAAAAAAACACTTTTTT